CTTAAACTCACTAAGCTTCTCTAATGATGGTTGAGAGATACTTTGATCTATGAGTGCATATGGTGATATTTATGACTTAGTAAAGCTTTGTGATGTGTCTCTTTGGCACCTCTCAGAATGATTCAAGTTCAATCCATTTACTTAAACTTCATTTTTCTTAATAGCTGAATAGTATTCCATTGTGTAAATGTACCACACGATTTGGCTGTTTCAATTTCCTGGCTATTTTGAATAAAGCAGCAGTGAACATGCTCAGAAATCTAGAGCAAGATAGAGTATTTTCAGTATACTCCCAAGAGTGGTATAACTGGATCATAAGGTAGAGTTTTCTTTACGCTTTGAGAAACATCCATATTGATTTCTATCATGGACATACCAGTTTACACTTCTAACAGCATGGGAGTCTTTCCATTTACTATCTTCAATTTTTCTTTAGTGTCTTAAGATTTTCAGTATACAAATCTTTGGTTAAATTTATTCCAAGCTTTTTTTTGTATGTTTTGTTTTCTGATACATTTCCGAATGTTTTATCAGTTGTAGAAAGTTTCTGGTAATATATTTAGAGTATTTTACATACAGAATCAGATCATCTGCAAATAGAGATACTTACATTTTCCTCTCCTATTTGCATCCCTTTGTTTTTCACTTTCTAGCTAAGACTCTGGGATTGTGTTAATCAGGGTTGGAGAGGGTGTTGTGCCTATTCTCATGTCCTTTAATGTGAACCACTTTGCCTTTGACTGTTTTCCTTGCGTGTAATGTCAAGGTTCACTTTGTAGTTTTCCTGCCCCAGAGACCTATCATTTCTTTGATAGTTTTGATGCTGTAAATGACTGATGAAAGCCAGAAGCTACATTCTAAGGCTCAGGCACTTGCTACTGCCTGTGAGTCATTACTCTTAGACCTTTTCACTCAGTAAACATATCTAGAAAGTAGTTCTTAAAATGATACTGTCACTTCAAGTTTAAATTACCTTCGTTTGTATGCTTTGGATTTTCATAACATGAACTTGTCATTTATCAAACAAAGTTAAAGCCAGGCAGTAGTGGTGCACACCTTTAATCCCAGCACTCAAGAGGCAGAGGCCAGCCTGGTATCCAAAGAGTTCCAAAACAGCAGGACTATGTAGGAGGAAGTCTGTCGCGTATCGTTACAGCGTCCGTTGAAGCCTACAGGACTATATGGAGAAACCCTGTCTGAAAAAAACAAAACAAGCAAGGAACAAAAGATTACAAATATTTTCTCCACTTTTCTATTCAACTCTGAAATACAAAAGCCTTATTTAGAAGAGGTTTTCCCATAACCTAGATTGGCAGCAAAGTTTACCTGTTTTCAACCATGATTGCTTCATCTTTTATATTAAGTTATCTGATGCATTTAGAATGTTATACTGGTATAGATTGTAAGATATAGATCAATTTTCCCCAAAATTTTCATCTGGTTGTGTAACACCACAAACCAAAAACAGTCTTTTCATTTTTTAGTGCAAATATGCATTTGTCTCTTTTCAAAAAATATTTTAAACATTTCTGGTCTGTATGTCAATTTGAATCAGCACTGCATTGTTTTAGTTGAAGGTTTCCCTTACCCTTAAATATGCATCATGGTTTTTGTTTTATTTCTGTTTGGTTGATTTTTCTTTTTAAAGAAATGAAACTGTCTTTTAGATAATACAATTTTAGACAGTCCCAAATCAATGCTAAAACTATCATAATAACAAATAGAAATTCAGAGAACATGATATAAAACTCAGTATATAAAACAGATACCCTTTTACATATTTAAATAAATTAGATATGATGGAGAATATCCCATGTCCATGAAAATTTCAAAGATGAAATATTTGATAATGTAAGAAATGTACAAACAGTCGAGGAAAGCAGTAATATATTTCTGAAGTGCAGTTATCTTGAAGAAATGTTGACATTCTTTGTGACCAATATAAAATGCGAATTAAGATTTCAGTTAAATGGAAGTTTCTTTCCTTGGCATCACATAAACTGGCCTAAAATTCATATGGATCATGAAAGAAATCCTAGGAAAGTCTTGAGGGAAGGAAAGGAAAAGAAACCAGGAATGAACACAGCTGAATCCGTCCTTTCTCTAGGCTGTGACTGGAAATAGAGTTCAGAGGGTCAGCACTGAACTGGCAAATGGGAGGTCCCGGCTGGTATTCAGCCCATGTGCCTCGGCCTTCTGTTTCGTACATTTCAGAAGCACTTACGGTTTTAGTACATACAACCTATATTCTCCTGGGATATAATGGTTTTTATTTCATTTCCCACAGTCAGGTGTCTTAGTTAGGGTTTCTATTGCTGAGAAGAGATACCATGAACCATGTAAAATCTTCTAAAGGAAAACATTTCACTGGGGCTGGCTTACAATTCAGAGGCGCTTAGACCATTGTCACCATGGCAGGAAACATGGCAGCATTCAGGCAGAGAATGACACTGGGGCTGACTTGAACTTCTGAAACTTCCAAGTCCACCCCCTGTGACATGCTTCAACAAGACCTAATAGTGCCAACCCCTGTGAGCCTCTGGGGACCATTTTCATTCCCACCACATCACGTAACCAAAGCATAATTCATTTATTCTTATCCTGCTATGACTTTCATGTGGTCTGGTGGAAATCTGTTGGAGGAATGTCTCTTAAGAGTTTTAGGCCTTCAAATAGTTAGATGAGGTCCATTTACATAGTAGAGAGTGATGTACCTTATTTGGGTTCTTCTAGCTTAACTGTTGCTATCATCCAATAAAATGTCTTCAAAGAAACATCTAGACTAGTATTTGACTAAGTATCTGGATACACAGCTTAGCCAAATTGACATGTGAAGTTAACCAGCACAGTAAACCATGTATATTTTCAGATGTTGCATGCCGACAAACTTAACATCAATAGATGATGAAGCTGTTTCAGATGTCCGCTATGGTGATTGCTTTGTATGTTTTTAACATCCTTCAACAAAAAATGTACTGCCGTGTTTCAAACTGTTTGTACATGCCATTGAAATTTAAAACTAAGATAACTTATATAACACATTTCTAGAATTTATGTCATAGAGGTCTGAGGAGATTGCTCAGTGGTTAGAGTGCTTGCCACACAATCCCTGAGGACTGTAGTTCAGATTTCCAGAACTCGAGTTAACAGCAGATGGGCATGACATCCTGCCAGTGATGTCAGAGTCCAAGAAGTGGAGATTCCATCTGAGTGAGCTGGATAGCTACATTTGTCATTAGTATATGTTAGTTCTGAGCTTTAACTATTACTCATACTCTACATAAGGTAGCATGCAATGGAGGAAGATACTCAATGTCTGCCTTTAAATGCAGTTTCTAATATAGCCTACTCTTGAAGTTGAAAACTGAAATCTGAAGGGTTTTCTTTTGTTCCCCCCCTCACTATAATTTTCGTAGAAACTCTATGAATGTAAAAAGAGGGGGAGAGTGTTTTATTATCCTTTTAAATTACTTTTTATTTCTAATTCAACAAGACCACTCATTTGGAAGCAAATGAGCCATTCCACATTCTTATTGATGGCAACTAAGAGAGTTATAAGATGCAGGGGACAGTAGAAATTGCACAAATTGACAAGAACCAAAATTATTTACATTTTCTAATTTGTCTTTTTTACTTAAAGATAAGATCAATCTGTGAACGAATATCTTTTCCTCAATTACCTTTAACACTTTACATTCAAGGGAAAGGTCTGCTTCATTTGATCTTCTGTTTTATTACACTATTTCATCTCTCATCTTTGAGTATCAGGCAGTCACTCAGTAAATATTAGTTGGTTGGACCAAAGTTCTAAAGTACTTCACATGCTATTGGCAAATGGGTCCTGAAAGTGGGAGGGGTTGTTTTTGTATTGCTTGAAGGTGTGTTTTGTTTTGTGACTAGGGTTTACTGAATGGTTTGGGACTGCATCCAATTTCTAATTCTCCTGTCTCTAGAGGACTGTAACAGCTACCCTCAGCTTCCTCAGCCCCAAGATTGTATGCATCACCATACTCAGCTCCTGAAACATGTTTGAAGCAAATGTGTATTCTTAAACATATTATGCTTCATTTTAAAGATATTATTTCAAAGTGGCATAAAGCTATAGTTTTGTCTTGATCTCAATTCACCCTTTTTACTTTAAGAAAAATAAGTACTTACAAAAGACAGGAACTTAATTAACATTTTGCTTAAACTGGGAATTTGTTAACTACTGTTAGTAGACTTTGTAGTTCTCACCTCCAGCATCTGTGTGACATCAATTAGCATTATTTGAACAAAACTATTCTAGTAAACTTACAATATTAGCTCACTTGTTTGCTATTGGACAGACACTGGAAGCTGAGACCCATGCCTGTGTTCATTTTTAGCTTGTGCCCGACTTTGAACTAGTGTCTTACAGATCAAATGCAGGATATTATATACTTTATAGGATACTTATGACAAAAAAGTGCACTAAAAAGACACTTGGAACAAAAAGATAAATCCACATGTGATAAAAGGATATTTTTCAAGATTAGCCCTTATTGTTACCATTGTCAAGAGAAAAAAGCAGAGCTTTCTGACATTCTATGGTGATTGAATAAATAACAGAATATATCACAGTAGGAAGTTACATCAAAGAAATTCAAATGGATTTATTCTTTTGCAAAAATAAGGAAGTAGTGATTCTTTCACAGCTTTTATGGTGTTATAGTCTAAATCTAGTGACCTCAAGTCAGAAATAACTTTCCCAGAAGAATTGCAGCAGAGACCAGATAATGGTATAACTTTTGTGCCGATAGGATATGACTACATCGCCAACTGTTGCTAGATGCCACCTGAATGGGAAAAGTGGCTTAGCTGACCTTAAATTGTGTCTTAGCTAAATTCATCAACTGTTCCTGACCAAGAATCTGTGACAATTCAGACAGACCTTACCTTCTGAGGAACACTTTTTTATAAACTGATGTTTTCAAATAAAATGGGCATAATAACCAAATGCTGTTCTTTGCTTTCTGCAGCATTCATCAGCATGGAAAGAAGGCCTTTTATGCGCCAAGTAGATCCACCACCAATGGTAAGGGAGTCTCTGTCTCTGTGTTTGTGTGTGGTTAAAACTGGTAAGAAACTACAAAATGGTGCTAGTTGACACCATTGCTGAAAATCCTCTTAACTTCTCTTTTCCAGAGTTATAGCCCTACACGAAAATTAACTTCATATTTCCAATTAAAGAAAACCTATTCTTTTCAAAACATAGGAAAACAAGATACAGTCTTTTACAGCCACTTGTTCCTATCTTTTTGATTAAAAAAGGACAAAGCCTTAATTCTGACAAAATTACATTACTTAGTAGTACTTTGGTACTAGATGTTTGCTCTAGTAGAGAAAGATGTATAATATACAGAATAGCTTTGTCAAAGGCATTGTCAAAACCCATACACCTTTACACATAACTATACAGAACTAAAGTCTACACTGCAAAATACACATGGCAGAAGAAAACATCACATATAAATAATACTCAAACATTTTGGCATGTATGGTGCTTTTCTAGCTAGAGTGAAACTCTATATGTAAACGCAAAGGATGTTTCAGACACATGGAGGAAACAGAAGTACCAATTAAGTTATACTTGATCACGAAGACGAGCCAAGCCTCTGTGACAGTTCATCCTGCTCCATAGAAGCAACACTTGCACCAACAGACCCTGTCCGACCCTGTGGAAGCTCCATGTTGAGATATGTAGCATATCTACTTGGTTCTGTGGTGAAACATCCACAGCTGTTCAAATTTGTCCATTAAGGCTGAAATCTTTTTAAGATTGATACATCTCAATGTAGCATTCATAGATTTTAACTACACCTGCCATGGATTTTTGTCAACTTGACCATTGTTACTGCAGTTTGAACTCTGGCTCAACCCTAGCACTCGTTCTCAAGAAATTGATTGCTTGGTTTCTCTGACAGATTGCATTTTCAGCATGTATTCTTGCAACTTCTATATTGCCTTTCTGAATGGCCTTTTTTTTATCATGGCCTTTTCAGCTTTTTCTTTATTGCACTTCTTGGCATTCCTACTAAGTTCTTCTGCAGAAAACTTCAAGTTAAATAAGTGTTTCTCCAAGTTAACATGATCTCACGAGTTCACGGCCTGGGGAGTGAGGGAAGGGGTCACTAACACTTGGAACAGGGCAGGAGTGGCCCTAGATCGTGGGTCATGGGTCACAGGTCTCTAGGATGTGCGGAAGGCGGCTATTGTACCCGGCTTCTGGGGTTTCTCTACTTGTTCCTATTTTAACCTAAGATAATTTATACTTTAAATATATAAATATATATTTGCTTTTAAAATTGTTTTCTGGAATAGCATTATTTAAAGTGAATGTTTTATAATAGTAAAAAAAATCCCCATTTCTCAAGTTACTGTATTACAGCTTCTGGGATTTTTTCCACTTGTTCCTATTTTAACCTAAAATAATTTATACTTTTAATAATGTAAATATATATTTGCTTTTAAAATTATTTTCTGGAATAGCATTATTTAGAATGGATGTTTTATAATAGTAAAAATTCCCCATTTCTCTTAAAAGTTACTTTACTGTATTATGGGAGTGAAATTTTACCTTTTATTCCTTTTCTGTTAGTACTAGAGACATTTGTTACTATAGTAACATGCATAGAATGGTATTTTAATCTCTGAACATGCTTGTATGAAATATGCCTAAGTAACTAGTTTCCAGGTGAAATTTTCCTAAGATGATGTAATCTAGAATACATCCTCCTTTCTCTTCAACATAATCTTTTCATCCCTTGTATAAGTCTTCCAAGCTCTTGAAATAACTCGCTATTTTCTAGGTGAGAAACATCTCACAATTTTAAATGACATAAAAGACAATATTGAACTTCATTTGAATATTTTCTTGTGATTAATGCTTGCCTCCCTAGAAAATTCATTTTCAGATTGGTTTAATGTGTTTTTATCAGTTAGGTATAGTATGTATGAGATGTTAATTGCCAACAAACCATAAAAATATCCAACTATAGAGTTTCTCCAGTTTCCCTTAGGAAGTACACTAAGAAAATGGACACGATTTTGTGTTTTATTCATCATTAAAATCAGAAGCTTAATTAAGGAAATTTGTATTAATTGAGTAACGTACTTAGCTCTTTAGATTATTTACATACATTTGAAACTTAAACTTACAGGCATTCCTGTGGCACCTATGTCATATTTCTGGTTCATTTATAGATTGCCCTAAAAAGTGCAACCCATCAGTTTTCTTGTATATCCAAATCTTGTATTCTCCTGGCCTGGAGAACCCATGCCTTAAGCCACTTTTTTTTTTTTTTTGGTGTGTGCCCAAAAACAAAATAGAAAGGCCCAAGATTTGAAAATGGCTGGTACCAGGCCCTAAGTGACATCTTGACCTTGTCTGGAAACCTCAGTGACCATCATTCCTACCCGTTACTGTTCTCTCTTGTTCCTAGTACACCAGCAAAATGGCCCATGCCTTGTAAAGTGCTAATGCTAGATGTAGCTATAGCAATTGAGGCCAGTGAGTAACTGATTTTTTCAAAGGCCTCTGTTCCAGGGAATGGTGTGCTTCGTAGTCCCAGATGGAATTCTGAATAGTTTTCAGTTAAATATATGGCTACAGGGGCGATTTTGCTTTTAAACACTGTAATGTTGTGTCACATAAGTAAATATAGATTAGCCTGAAAAGAAAACCACCTTCTGTGCCTTTGTTCAACACTACCTAACCTCTTTTCAATTTACTTTTTCTTTTCATTTGTTACTTGAACTTTGTTGGGTTTGGGGAAGGGGCCTGTTTGTCTTTGGTGTACATAATACCCCATTTTTGTACTGCCTTTAATAGAAGTTGAAGGCTGTGCCTGAATGGATTGATGCCTGCATCAAAATGAATCAAACCTCCTTTATTTTATGTGTTGAACTAGAGTTGTGTTTTTCTTTAAGAAGTGGGGATCGAATCTGTGGCCTCACAGATGTCAGGCCAGTGCTCTCCCACTGAGCTGCACTCGCGGAGTCCCTATACATGCAGAGTTCTTATTTTGTCTGTACCTAAGAATACATTTCCAAGTTACTTCAAGAAACAAAGATGAATTACGTAAGCATACATATCTAAAATTATCTTAGTGGCCTTTGTATAGTCACATTTTTATTTGGTAGTAGAACTTTTTCACTTTGAAAAATGTGATAGACAGTCTTAGACAAGCTACTGGGCATTAGCCTAATATTCTTTTGTGTAACCTGTTAGGCTGCTTGTACACTACAGACTATATGTACCGAACATCAGTTCCGATTTGATGGTTAAAACTAACGCTATTCTTGGCTTTTTTCTTTTTGCCGAACAGTATTCACTTGAACACTGCACTAAAAAGGAACCAAGGCACATTAGTTGATTATATGAAAATTAAATGACCATATTAGTATATGAAAATAGATTATGCCCTTTAAAGACCAGTCACTGCACCTGCAGATAATCTGTGGCAAGTTAAGGATAAATGATCAGCCTCCAATTTTTCAGAGGTCCTTGTCTGAACCCTGAAAGGCAGGTGTAAAAGTTAATAGTTAAGTCAGCATAAGTGAGTCCTTTATCTGCTTTAAGTGAAGAACTTATTTGTAAATCAAAAAAACACCAACCAGCATGAGTAAATGTTCCTTCAAAACAGTTAAAACATACCTCCTTTTAATGTTACCATAGACATAGCATATCATTTTATGTTGTGGCATATTAATGCTTGCAGAAGACACATGAAGTAAGCCATGCCAGATGTACACATACTGCTTAGTGATTTGAGCTTTACTTAATCTCAATAAAATGATAAAGCAAAATGCAAACTATCAATATGGCCTATTCTGATTAGTGACTTGAATTTTCACCAAGTTCCTGCCTTTAAATTCTAACAATTAGTAATATGCATTTTTCAGTTTTTTCACTGATCCTGTTGCTGAGCACACATTTTCTTTTAGGACATGGATGTGGAGTAGTTCGTAAAATTACAGCTCATATTTTCTAAGAATGTTTCACACATCCGCTACAACAGGTTCAGACAAAACAGTCTGTCATTAGGCTTATGCCTGTTGTGAAATACCTTCTATTTGTCAAAGCAGCCCTTTTCATCATTGGGATTTAAAATATTATACCCTGACTTGAGTTTTAAATGTTCAATAGTTGTTCTTACATTCATTCTTGAAGTTAAATTTATCAGTTAGCATTTAAAAATTCATTGTCACATGACTTACTAGTATTAAACCTTAATGCTTAGACTTATTTTGTTTTTAAATATCTGAGATGTCTGTGATATTGTATGGCCTCAACACTAAATTTGCTCATTTGAGTCATACAAAGTAAATTTTATTGTCTCTGAGATTTTGATCTCATATTTTTTGGCATTTTGAGTCATTGTTGCTATATGGTTTAGTCCTTGATGTTGACAAGATTCCTACATTTTGTATTACTACAACTGTATAATAGTTTTATACCTATGCTTATATAAAATATGGCAGTTTCATGTTTAATGTATTTGTAATATAATACTTGTAGATGTATGGATTTAAGTGAAATGTCTTGATTCAAAGGGCACACTTTATCTTCAATATATAGCATTTTCCAGGAATTCATAGCATGTAAATTTAGGTGACTATGCCCCTATAAAACTCATAAAAAAGAATCTCTGGTTGATCTCTTCCTGTAGGTAATTGCAGGGTGGAGAGGGAACCTGTAAACTGTAAGCTTTTATAGCTTGTCATAAAAGAGCCTGTTTTCATTCATCAGTGAAGTAGCAATTCAAAGCAATTCTAAAATTTCTATTGAAACTCAAATACAAATGCAAAATTGGTACTCCTTTAGAACCATTTGACTGCTTATAATAAACATTCTCTTCTCTGAACACTAAATTATAAAGCCTATGTTAATTTTTCCCCTTGCTACTCCACTGACATTTGTTTTTGTAGACTTCACCTTTTTGCTTTACTAAATTTTTTAATCTATCAAACTTATCCTAATGTACCAGTGGCATGAACTGAGTTCTAAAGTGTCAGCAGAGGTACAGTGTACAT